GGGAAGTTTAGATCTCTGATATCCAATGTAAGCTTAGTGAAGACTAGCAGGGATTTAAATATCCAAATCTCTCTACAAGGAACTAATTGAATCCTGCTCTTGAATAAATAGAAAATTTGCCCCCATGATAAAATAATTTCACTTGACTTCAAAGGAAGCTGGCTAAGGTTACACAGGAACATTTCATATTTTTCTTATCCTTGAAGAAATGTGTCAAATTCTAAGGCAGTAGATAACCCAGGGCCATTGATCAAACTCAAGAGAATTGGAAAATTTCCTGGATAGGTTTTTTCTCAATATCCAAACTTCTGATATCCCCATTTCAGCCACAAGGAGGACAAGAGAATAACTGTGGACGTTTATAAGAAGGATAAGTTAAAGGAACAGAAGCAATATAAACAGTCTCTAAACTATAAAATTATACAAGGATGCCACTGTCTATTTTTTTTTAAATCAAATACATGTAAGAGTGATGCTTACAAGACTAAAGCTTCTCTTTTATACCCCAAATGGAAAATATAATCAAAATCTGCTTTTTTGCAGGATGACTTTCTTAAATAAATAAGCAGGATGAATTATGTGGCTATAAATAAATATACTGACATATAATAAAGCAAAGTTCGACTGTTTTATAGTGTCACTGGAACCCTTGGATATATTTATAGCCATGTTAACAGTCACCTGTATTTTTTCAGGACTTTTATTTCATTTCACATTATGAGAGTTTAGTTGTTTGTTTTTGTTTTTGCTTTTCCTCCCCCTACACTTACCTTTTGGAACCCTGTGTAGAGAGAGGAAGTAAAGATTTCTACTCTTCATATTTGGAAAAAGAGGACCCTCTCCTAAGAGTTTAGGGCTCGCACAGAAACAGACGGCTCTGGTGCTTTCTGTGTCTATGCAGTCATATTAGGTGTGCCTGAGACTAACAACTTGACAGGTGTCTTCTGGTGGCAGTGAAGTGGAAAGTCTGAGTCTATACAAATGAAAAGAGGCACGTGCAGAGACACAATGTATTGTGAGAGACCGAACAGGGCAATGTCGCATTAGGTCCCTGGCACCTGACATGCTTAAGGACTATCAGGAGGCTTATTTTAGAAGCCAAAAGATTCCCCTGACTACTTGATAGCCAAGGTACAGACCAAAGCAAGACAAAGAAGGTCAGGTGGGTAAGGACTCTCCGACTTTACCTTGGGACATTCTCCTGGAAGGTGGAGAGGAGGGGGGAGACTGAAAAAGCAGGGGAGAAAATCTATAATGCCAAATTCTGAAATCTGAAATAATAGAGAAACCCAGTGATTGACCAAGCAAATCCTGCTACAGGGTGTTTTTTGTTGGTTTTTTTTTTTAAAAAAAAACTACCTTCCATTCAGAAACTTAAGCTTCCAGAAAGTCTGGTTAGGATTCCGTGGGGGTTTATCCAAGTGGAGCTAAGCGTGGTTGTTCCTGTGAAATTATTTATACTTTTCAATTTTAAATCTGGTGAGCATAACGTTTCTAAATCTACTTCTCTTCTTTTCTATCTTAAAAGTGGACTCACTTCATTCTGTAGTTGCACACTTCACTCCCAAGTGCTCTCACTCCAGAGACCCACTAGAGAAGACAACTCAGGAGGAAGAGGAGAGCTTTCGGTGGTAGTACAGGTGATGATGAATCCTTTAGCCGGAACTCTAGCTGCAGGCAGGTGTTCCTGGAGCTAAAAATCAAAAAAATATATATTTACTATGTCAGCCTAATATAAACTCTAATAGGCCTGAGAAGAATGGGAATTAGAAAAGAAGTCTAAGTAGGAATGTGTTGACTAGAGGAAGAGAGAGAGAAAACAAATGAAAAAAATCAACAATGTGTTACATTGGAGTATATGCATTTTATCAGGATGATTGTGGGTGATCTCTTTGGAGTGGAAGAAGAACAATAAACCAGTCTTGCATTTGTCTTCTGATAAATTCTTATTCGGAATACTGAAAATTCTCAGTATTCAACTGAGTCCCCAAATGGAATCAGCCCTTACCGGAATTCACGGCTACCTCTTTTGACATTTTGCAAAAAGTAAATAAATAAATTACAAGTATGACAAGTAAAATGAATAGTTCCAGCAGTGATGCACCGGCGGCATTTCCAGATTTTGTATTGCATTAGGACTTTTTTTTCACTTTGTTGCCTAGCAGAGAATTAACTGGGATGTCCATCTAAGCTTCCCATACTTCCTCGGGATGAAGTCACGACCAGTCTCCAACACCCAGTGCCTACTTAGAAAAGAAAACGGTTAAGTGGATAGGCGGTCAGCTCATCAACTCTGGAAATATGTGTCTCTGGGGATCAATGCCACCAAAGCCAGATAAATGCATCAGTGGAACTAAGGGTATAAGAACATGTGAATATGAGGTTGTCAATTGATTCATTGGATTCATTCATTCAGCATTTACTCACCTCCTACTATGTGCTACTCACTCTTCCCCACACAGAGGATATAGAGGAGAACAAGCCAAAGGCTCAGCCTTCAGGTAGCTTACAATCTTTTTTAAAGGAGCTAAACTATGAACAAATAATAACAAAATAAAATAATTTTGGCAAGTGGAGAGTGCTCTGAAGGAAACAGAACAAGGTAATGGGATAAAGTGGCTTTCAGGGGTGGTGGTGGCTAACTTTAGATGAAGATCAGAGAGGGCCTCTGAGGAAGTGACATCTAAAATGAACCAATCGTGGGAAAAGCTTGGGGAAGAGTCTTCCAGACAAGAGAGGTCAGCAAGTGTAAAGGCTTTGGGTCAGGAAAGAACTTGGCACATTCAAAGAGCAGCAAGAGGGTCTGGGAGACTGGAAAGTATGAATAAGGGATCATCTGGAAGAAGTTGGAGTTGGAGAATTAGGCATAAGCCAGGTGATCTGGGTCCCCTTAAGGCCATGACACAGAGTTAGAATAAGTCCAAAGTGCAGTGGGAATCCATCTGAAGCAGTAAATCAAGGAGCGGTTGGATTGAATGGGAATTATCATCTACCTTAAGGAAGGATGCTTAGGATATTAAGGGTTTTTTTTTTTTTTTTGACTTTTCTACTAATAATAACATAAGACCCTAAATCTGTACTTAACCTTCTTGGAGTTTTAGCTGATTTTTTATTGGACAAAGAGTACTGCTACTCTTTGTCAGGTGCTATGCCAGATGCTGTATATATATTATCTCATTTAAAACTCCCAAGAACCTTGTGAGGGAAGGAATTATCCACATTTTACAGAGGAGCAAACTGAGGTTTAAACTGAGTCTCCAGAAACCACCTGTCTCGCTTGTTGTGGTGTTCCTGAGTGCATGTTCCTAGTTTAAGACATCGTGTTTGTGTGCCACTCAAGGGCATGAAAGACCTTGAATGAGGGCCACCTCCCTCAGAGGGTATGGATCCTGGATGACCCTTACAGCTGAGAGCCAGGGCAGTTGGGATGACTGTCGCCATTTGCCTAAGGCAGCATGGACCTTTAGGAGAACACCAAGTTTCAGAACCAGAATACCAAGTCACCACCGTATATTCTGAAATGAACTTGTATTTGACCTTGAAGACAAATCATCCATAGGTTTAGTATCTTTCTCTGTTAGAAAGACATATAATGCTAACTTCCTCAACATCTCCTTGGGGTGTCCCAAGGATGAATAGGACTGTCTTAATCCCTATTCTTTCTCTTCAGTTGGGGGTTTGAAATGTTCATTGAGAGCAGGAGTATAATAGGTGCTATAAGTTCCTTTTTAAAAAAGAAATGCCACCTAAATACAATATATATATGATTTAACCAGCAAGTGCCATATACTATATATGATATAATTTAACCAGCAAATACTATTGCCTCTGCCCCACTCCACTGAGAAAATATGGAATTTGCTTTTTTAACCAAGGTGAGTGGGAAGGAGAGAGTCAGAGCTAGCAAGACCCCTGGGTCTAGGAGGGCCACCTGTTGGGTTTGTGTCCCCAGCTCATCATGCAGTGCTGGGAAAGGGGGCGGGAAGCGTGGACGCCGCCTTGTCCAGAATGACACCGTTCCCTGGCAGAGCCCCGGGTCAGCTTTCTCCTGGAGTCACAGATGGCAACCACAGGCTTGCCAAGCCTCTTCCTGCCACTCCCGCTCTCCCCTGCAGGTTCAGCCTGGATGCAAAAGCTGTGCTCTCTTTGGTGCCCAGCGCCCTGGAGGCCTGGAGGCTTCACCCACCTGGGGCAGCGTGTCTGGGGCCAGTCTGGGACAGGCCAGCCACTCCTCTTCCGCCAGCAGACTCAGGCCTCGCCCCTTCTGAAATTCTTTAACCGGGACAGCCGGCGCAGGCGCTCACCTCTGGGTCCTGAATTCCAAGAGCGCCCTGTCCACCAGGGCTGCGGGGGTGGAAGCAACCTTCTCGAAGGGCCTCCAGTTACCAAACCCCTCACCCTCCGGAGTCCCGGGCCACCTCTCCACCTTAACTTTCTGGAACCAGGACGCAGGTTCCCGCCATTCGCCCCTGGGGCAGGGCCCTGGGCGTCCTAACCCCCAGATCCGCACACGCCCAGAAAGTGGCGGCGCGATGCTGGGCGTCAGGCCGGCGGGAGCGTGCGTGTGGCACCACCGCGCGTGCAGCCGCTCCAGCGCTCCTGCTGACTCAAGGGGTTATTTTTATTCCTATCTGGGGCTACTTCAGCCTTACCCGCCGCCTGCATTTTTCTTCCCAAATTGTAAAATGTGCCTTAGTCGTCCGAGCTGGACTGAAGGCGCCTGTGAGAGGAGAAGGGAAAGGGTAATAAAAAGGCGCAGTGGCCGTATGTCCGTCTGACTCACACACACTCTCACTCCACTGGGAGGAAGCGGACGGCGAGGAGGGCGGGCGGTGCGCGCGGAAGGCTCGCGCGGGTGTAGACGAGCGAGCGTGTAGTTGAATGGGGAGGGCCGGGATTCCGGGTCGCTGGGGCCCCTCCTTCCTCCCGAGCCAGCCAGTCCCTCGGCAGAGCGCTCGGGCTGCACTGATTTGCTCTCGGGAGTCTGCTATTTGCATATGACTTGCCCATTTGTGAATCTGGCTTCTCAACTCCTCGCTTCACTTCACCTGTGCCTCCCAGTTCCGTGCACTTTGCAGGCGCCCGCCCGCCCCTCGGCCACCTCTGCCGCGTGCCGGGCACCTCCTCTCGCGCTCTCCCTGCTCGCCCACCCACCTCCCGCCGCCCCGTGCCACGCTGGTTTGGGTGGCTGCTCCGCGCTGGGTTTCTCCTCCACTCCTCTTTCCCTCTGGTCCTTCCTGTTCTCTTCCTCCGGCTGCTGCTGCTGCTTTTCATGCAGTTGGGAACCCAGGACGCAGGCGGCTGCTCCGTGGCGCTCTTCCAGAACGCGCGGGGTTAACTGCCTCCGCGCCCTTCCGCGGAGACTCCGAGGAACACGCGAAGAACTCTCCCACCTGCAGCCCCCTTTTGCCTGGCAGTTCTGCATTGCATCGCATGGAAGTGGAAAAAGAAAAAAAAAAAATGTTCAAACTGCTTGGATGTTGGGATAAATTAAGCTGAACCTACTTGGGTCTCCTGCTGCCTCCTCCTCTTCCTTCGTTTGCACCTTTCCTCTGTGTGGCTTCCCGGAGTGTGCAGTTAAATCATCAGACCAGAGGTGCCTAGAGATCAGGAGGAAGACGCCTCTCTGACATGTGTGGCATTCCGGGGCTCCCTAGGAGGGTTGCTATACCTGGGTGGACTTTGGAATCCTAAATTTCAGCCCCAGGAAAGAGGGGCTTCCTATCTTTTTTTGTTTTTTTTTTTAACTGATTCATCATCTGTCTTGAAAGCGCTTGTTCCTTCCCTCTTTCCAAAATTCGGGCAAGTCTTCCTCCTGCTATGATGGGCCCCTGGGCATCATGAACTTCATTATTCCTCACTGGCTGGAATTCAAACTGCCCATCTGTAGTGGTCCAGTGCGTTGACCATGCACCTGAGAATCCACGCAAGACGGAGCCCTCCTCGCCGGCCGGCCTGGACGCTTGGGATCTGGTCCCTCTTCTGGGGATGTATCGTCAGCTCTGTGTGGAGTTCCTCTAATGTAGCTTCCTCCTCCTCCTCCTCTTCCTCGCCGGGGTCTCACTCTCAGCACGAGCACCATTTCCATGGCAGCAAGCATCACTCAGTGCCTATTTCTATCTATCGCTCCCCTGTTTCCCTTCGAGGAGGGCACGGTGGGTCTCTCTGCTCTTTATCCTTTTATGGGGCATAGCAATTCCTTAACCCACTCGCCTTTCAGGTAATGTCAAGGGTGGGAAGAGAATAAAAAACTGAATTTAAAATGATGGAAAGCATCGCATGTGCATGAGGGAAGAAAATGTCCAATTTCCCCTTAAAGGCTAGTGTTTTCTGCCCCTGCCCCCCAGTTGTCTCTAATGGGTTCTCCTCTGGGATCCCTTATTCATAGCTGAAGGAACACCCCATTCTCCCCTTTGCAACCTTCCACCTCCTTCACCCCCCATAATGGCAGGCAACTTATCAGATAAGTCCTGGGTGCTGCACTTTGGGAATTCATTCATTCACCTTGCTTTCACCCCTCTTTTCTTTGATCTTGTTTGGGAGCTAGTCGCGGGGAAATAGCAGACAGCAGGAATCCTTAGGTCTCCAGCCTGAAGTTGACTGAACTGCTATAAAGTGGCTTGTGTGATAAAGGTCGGGGGGGAGAGTAGCTGAGTGTCGGAAGGCAGAAAATATAATTAATAACCAGTGGTCATTGTTGTTCATTTGCACAGCTTTATATTTGTCCACATGTCTGATGGAAAAAGCTGCCATCACGAAAACTGTACATCTAATATTGCTAACTACCACAGGGGAAGCGATATGTAAGATAAGGCAAGTCCATTTATAATTTACCCAAGTGTAAATTATAGTAACTTCGATTCCTCCATTTATGCAAATGTTATTTCAATTAAAGATAGCATGGGTGGGCTTGTTCACACAATACGAGTATGAGGTTTTGCTCCAAAGAACCCTCCTTGCGTAGCTGTTGAAGGAAAAGATCTATGGCTGTTAAAAATATATTCATCTCGGAGCAGGCTGCCTCTGAAAGGGTGATGTCTGTCGCGGAGGTAGGAGCTTGCTGTAGTAAACTGTTCTAAAGAAGGGAGCTTCATTATTTGTTTACTATGAACTCCACTCCGATGGTGAGGAGAGTAGGAATCACAGAGCCCCACTGCAGGAGCAGCATTCTAGGGAGCAGCACGAGTGAACCACAGTAGAGGTCCCCTGCCCTAGCTTGTATTTTGAAGACCTGTAACATGCAGACCCCCTTCGGAACATCAGTTTTTCCCACTGCCTCCTAGCCTTGGGCTTCTGCTCTGTGCTGTCTGTAGTGTTAAGTGGAAGCACACTGAGAAAATGCCAGCACGTACTCTGGCTCTCTCTCTAAATTTTATTTGATGGAGTTGTCAAGCAGCCCAGAGCTTGTAAGGTTGGTGCAGGAGGGTGGTGGGAAGGAGGTAAGGCTTGATCTCGATCTGGTTGCTGTTTTCGCTGTGACTCCTGCTGGTTCTGGTATAGGATTTCTGAAAAAAAATCCTAGGAGAGGAAAGAACCACAACCACCAAAAAAGCAAAAGCAATTTCATTGAAATGGAAACTGATAGCTCCTAAGGGAGAGAGGGCCTGGGAGTGGGGGTGGGATTGTAAAGAGTGGGGGGAAAAAAGAGGGGAGTGGGAGGTGGAGGAAGCCAGACAGACTATTACTAATAGCCATAATTAAACACGGAAATGCTCAGCGATAATTAGCTAAATTTTGCTAATTAGTGTAAATGATCAGCAGGGAGATGAAGATTATGCATTAGTTAGAGGTTATACGCTGGCAGGGTCTCGATGTTTGCTGTTCAGGATGTAAACAGTTAAAAGCAGCAGCTAGTAAGTGATGGAATTTGCAGAACAGTACTTCCCTGGGGTTCTGAAGTCTGTCAATTTCTCTCTGTCTCTCCTCCAGCTAAAGGGGCTAAAGGGATTGAGCCTCGCACAGGTTAAACACAACTCTTCTCTATTCATTTCCTCAAGAACTGGTTGCTCAGTATCCTCTAAATCTTTTTGACTAGTTCCCAGTCTGGTTTCTCATTAACTTGCATCTGATAAGATTCAGTGTGATGGAAAAGGAGAACAAAGTGAGTAAATGACTAGAGACCCCAGAAAAGGCCCTCAGATCTACCAGAGCTGTGGAGTGCAGTGAACTCCAGGGTCTGGCAAGGCTAAGATAAGAAAGCTCATGAATTGAACTCTTCACTATCCTCTTTCAATCCTGAAGTCCCATCCCATTGATTTGGGACTTGCAAAGTGAATGCATCTATATTAAGCAGGCTCCTTGCATATTTAACTAATGTTTTTGAGCTTAAAATCAAGAGAAATAGCAATCAACAAGATGCCCCAACTTCTGGCTCCCATCCCACATCCAAACTGTGACGTTTTGTGTCCTGAAAGGACCAGGAGACCCCTCAGTGCTTTATTAATGCTCTTGTCATTCTTGCTTGGAGTACACTTGCTTCCCCTCAGTTCAAGGCAATTGGATTTAGCTAACAGCAATTGTTTTAAAAAATCTTTCCGATGGAGGTGGTAGGAGGCAGAGCACCACGAGACTAATGGTTGTTACTAATAGTTTTCTGTGAACCTTATTCCAGAGTCGAAAGCAGCAATCTCTATTGTTGAAGAAGTAAATGCCCTTCGTTCTAGTATAAAACAAAAACTAGAGCCTTGAGTCCAAGAATCTTCTATGGACTCAAGAGAGATTTGTTGTTCGTTTGTTGTTTTTTCTACCCTTGTTCTCCTTGCCCATTTCCTGAGAGGCCAAAAGTCCTAGAGCTGCCCTATTAATCAGATGTCGCCATCCCCTCCTTCCAAACCATCCTGCCCTATAGTGGGATTCACACTAAGAACAGATGGAAGAAACAAATTCTCTGAACAGCTGGTGTTATGCCCATTCTTGGTTCCCATCTTTAGCAAGTTGACTATGTATAGATTTGCCTAAAGTCTTTATCCCAGGGCAGCCGAGAAAAGGCTGAACTCCTTTTTGAGTTGGGGGACTAAGACCACACCTGCCTGGGGTACCTAAAATCGTCTCAGGTTAGGATTGTGTCTCTGGATAGAATTAACTCACTTCTTAACTGGAATTTAGTGAGTTTTTCTCCATTGGTCAGCCCCTTCTCTCAGGCTTCCCGCTTTCTTTCATGTTCTATTCAGTAGTCATTCAATTAACATTTATTGAGCACTTACTATGTGCCAGGATGTTTGTAACCTTCTGAGGATAGAAAACTAAATAAGACATTGTGGTGTTCAGCTAGGGATAATTTCAGAGGTATTTTGATCATCTATGATCTCTATATGATAGAGATATCATCTATGATATCTATAAGATAAGAGCTTCTATAATTTAAAAAATATGGGGGATGGGGTGGTGATCCAGATACCAAATCAAATTAATTAATATAAAATCTAAATAGCCTTTATAAAATGTAGATTTACTTTCTTCTGTCATTCAAAATATCCATCCAGGTTTTTTTCATCCTCGACTTTATTTCCATACTTAAATATCATGTAAACAAAGCACCTAGGTAGCTTAGTGGTATAGGACATAATGGATACTAAAATATATTTGTTTACCAACTTTCAATTTTGTAGGGAGTTTTGTATTTTTTTTTCCTTCTTTTTTCCTCTCTCCCACTTTTAAGAACTCCAGTGTACCTCTGCCTGGAAAATGCCTTAATACTTATAGTTGAGAAAACAGGTTTCTTTAAGGATCCTAGGTTTAGTATGTGCCTTACATTTTATCCTTTATAACATAGGAGACCTTCCTGACTCTTTAGGCATTTGGGGGAACTAGTTGAAAACATACAACTCAATTTTAAAAGGGAACACACCACAATATATTTGGAGGAAAGTCCCTTGCTTAGAAACCAAGGGGTGTGTGTGTGTGTGTGTGTGTGTGTGTGTGTGTGTGTAGGGGGGAACATAAGTCCTATCCGAACCATCTTAGCAGAAGTGGTGGTGGTGGTCGCACTTGTGACGCGTGAGCCAGGAGACTTCTTGTAAGAAAGGACTACTCGTTCATTACTCATTCATTGTCACAGAGACTAACCGCTTCATTTTTCCAGACATGGGGCTTGTTTTGCTCTGATCTATGGAGCACTTTCTTCTGCTCAGCCAACTGCTTTCTAACCACTTTCTTTCTCCCTTCCTTCTTGGGATTCGGTTTGCTGAATAATTCATAGTGTTGGTTGACAGATAAAATGATAAGATTTATATGTCTTTGGCCTGGGTGATGAATTAATTAAGCTGGTTTCTCCTTCTCTGTCTCCTCTAGATGCATTGTTTTCCTTCTCTAAAATTTGCTGGCAAGTGGTGAGTCTGGAGATTAACTTGTTCTTGAAAGACCACCATGGGAAGATTGTAATATCCTGGTGTAAATTTCTTCAGCACTTTCAACATGGGTCATTGGGTGGGGTGGAGGTGAGGGCTGCTATATCACAGAGAGAGAAGATGAGATAATTGGAATTGCTTTCAGGAAAAAAAACCTTCACCAAACTGGCTAACCGCTAGAATTCTATAGTAAGAACTTTATTCCTCTATCGTCAGATTTTTGAGTCTGGAAGAGGTAACATATTCCATTTTACATTGTAGTGAATTAATTTATCAGATCTCAGAAAGCTTGCTTTGCTTAGGACCCTGGGTGATCTGGGAGGGAGGCAAATTTCTGAAGATAAACCTTAAACTTCTTTATACTTCCCTCCCTGTATTAGTTTGTTAAGGTTGCCATAAAAAATAAATAAATAAATAAAATCACGGACTGGGTGGCTCAAACAGAAATTTAGTTTTTCACAATTTTGAAGCCTAGAAGCCCAATATCATGGTGTTGGCAGATTTGGTTTCTTCTAAGACCCCTTTCTTTGGCTTGCAGATGGCCACCTTCTTATTGTGTCCTGATGTCTCCTCAAGTGTCCAGATTTTCTCTTCTTGTAATGACACTGGTCATATTGGATTAGAGCTCACCCTAAATGTCCCATTTTGACTTAATCACCACTTTAAAGGCCTTATCTCCAAAGACAGTCACATTCTGAAGTACGGGGAGTTAGGGCTTCAATATACAAATTTTAGGGGGACACAATTCAGCCCATAACACCCCTCCTTCTCCCCCAGGACCCAGTCATTGAGAAAGAAGTAAAAGTGAA